GTGGCTGACTCCTGTCATCCCAGCACTTTGGGAGGCTGAGGTGGGAGGATCGCTTGAGGCTGGAAGTTCATGACAGCCTGGGCAACAGAGTGAGACCTCGTCTCTACAATAAACAAACAAACAAACAAGGCTAAAATGATCAATGTTAAGTCACATACATTTCACCACTGTTTTAGAAAAATGCCCTATAGCTTTCCTGCTTTAAATGATCCAATAAATTGCCCCACGCCCCCAGGCTCCTCCCCACATCTGACCCTGCCCTCACCTCTGGCTCCTCTCAGCCCCCTGTGCCCCAGCCATACCAGGTGCATGTGGACCCTCCAGGGGGCCGAGTCTATCCCTGCCCTGGGGTCTCTGCACCTGCTGTTCCCTGGTTTGCAGCTCAGCCGTCATCCCCCCCACCCCACTCAGAGGACCATCCTCTCTTGTTCCTTGGAAGCTGGTGCTGCTGCTGCAAAGGCCACGCTACTGGAAGCCTCGAAGTTGGGGGGGGACTCTGTTCTAGTCCTTGTCAAATCCCACTGCCCAGGGCAGCACCAGGACCCAGCTGGGGCTCCTCGGAACTGGCAGGAATGAAGCGGGTGGGGAGACAGGCAGAGAAGGGGGTCTGTGCAAAGACCAGGAGAAACCAGAGACAGGTGGTAGGGGAGCCGAGGCCTTCACACAGGGCAGGAGCCGTCCTGGGGGGTCTCCGTGTCTTGCAGCCCCTGTGCAGGGCATCCTTAGAGCAGGGGAAGCTCAGGGCACTGGAATGTCCAGGTCCTGCCATCCCGCAGCTTCACTTCCTGCCAGGTGATTCGGCGCCCCCAGTCGTGCCTGTCGCTCAGTGGGCCAGGGTCTGAGGGCCGTGAAGACCCAATGTGCCTCCACCTGCTGCTTCTGGACACCAGGCACTGGCTCTGAGACCCCTAGGCTTTGCTGGACACCTCCTCAGGTGTACTGGGCCAGGTGACAGGGGCCTGGCTATCCCAACACCCAGGAGCAAGCAGCCCGTCACCCGCCAGGGGCCCCGAGGCCTGGAACACCTTCCTACTGGGCCCACCCACCCAGCCCTGGACCTGTCGCACTCGGTCACACACTGGGACCCTCGGCCTATCAGCAGGTGCGCCCCCAGGAGGGTGGGTGCGGCCAGGAGCCGGGGGAGGCCCCCGTGCCAGGGAGCAGGAGGCTGCCGAGGTGGAGAGTCCCACACAGCCACCACCCCCTGTCCCCAGCACAGCCTGGGGCCTGGCCCTGAGCAGACCAAGAGTCCATCCTTGCTTTGTGACCCCCTGGACTGTGCCTGACACCCCAGGTGTCCAGCGTGGAGCTGGGGCCCGGCTCAGTGCCTGGGAGCTGACGGACCCTAGGGTCTGGCTCAGTGCTTGGGAGCTGATGGACGCTATGGCCCAGCTCAAACCTGCATCGCTGTGGTTGGGGGAGGGGAAGGCTGAGCCACCTGGGGACCCCAGCCCCAAGGATGACTCTTTGCAGTGGCCAAGCCCCCCAGGTGGCCCCCCAGGGCTGAGGGGCTCGGCTTGGGACAGCTGGTGAGAGCAGATGGTGGCTCTGACCACTGGTGCCTGGACGGCCTCTGGAGGGGTCTGTGGGGTCCCCGGCGGGTCCTCATTCATGGCGGGATTAATCCTCCTTGGGTTCCGTGTCACCCAGGCCGCCCCTTTGTCCCCACTACCCCCTGGCCAGATGATGGACAGTGACCCGCCCAGGGCTGGTCCTGGCTCAGACCCCGTCAGAGCCGCAGGGCAGGTTCTTGGCACGTCCGAGGCGGGAGGCTCCTCTGCGCTCCAGGAGGCTGTGCCCGGCCCCCCTTCCCGGCAGGAACCGGCTGCGTCCCTTTCCTTCCTTTATCTCCTGTTTTCAGCGCCTTCAACTGTGAAGACGCAAACTCTTCAAACACACTGAGCAAACAGGCCGGACTCCCGGGGCCGCATCCGGGATGTCTCAATAGCTGTGGCCTTGACGTCCACCTCGGACCCCTGCCCCGGACCCGGCCCAGTCCCCAAGGGAGGACAGCCTAGTGGGAGGCACTGCCCGGGGAGGTGCCCAGTGGGAGGGACGAAGACAGAGTCAGGGCCCCCACTTGTTTGGTGTCACTGCGTGCCAGTGGCCACAGGCGGGCGAGGCTCTTCCAGGGTGGAGGCGGGGAGGGTTGGACCACAGGCACTGAGCTGGGACGGGGGAGCTGCTGAGGGTCCCAGCTCTGCCACGGAGAAAACGCTATCTCGCTGATGCAGAGGTGCCCGGCATGCTGGAGCTGGGGGTGAGGGGACTGCTCCCCAGTGGGCCGCCAGCCCCCATGAATGCCGCAGGCACTGGCTGTGGTCAGGGAGGGCAGGGGACAGGTAGTAGGGGCCAGCAGGGGAGACCCCAGGCTTGGCCCCAGCACCCCAGGTGGGCATCAGCTTGTGAGCTGGAGCCACGGGCACGGAGTGGGGAGGCCACGAGGGCTAGTGGCCAAGGTGGGAGACCCGGGTGGGTGTGTCATGAGGACGTCTGCAGTAGAGGCCCGGGCAGCAGGCACACCCCTCCCCCCGGGTGCGAGGGACAAGGCGCCACAGCGTCAGGGAGCCCCCCATTTGCCCAGCCTGGCCTGGAGCAGACAGGTAGGCCAGGGAGAGGGGTCTGGCTGGGGCCTGGGCGCAGTCACGGCCATGAGCCAGGGGTGGGGGCTCTGGCCCACCCTCCAGACCATCCTCAAGGCCCACTGGCCCAGGCATTCCCTCCCACCCCTCCTGCCGTGCTGCAGCGGGGACTCCCGGCCTGGATATGAAAGGGAGCTTGGAGACCCCAGTGACCTCGGAAACTCCAGCTTTGGAATTGATGTCGGTGGGGTGGGGGGAGCACAGGCCCCGGAGTCCCGGAAGTGAGCAGGGAGCAGGGGTCTGCACTGTGCTGAGATCTGGGAGACCCTCCTCCAGCCCAGGTACAGGGCCAGGCAGAAGCCCAAGGTGTGCCCTGAGTTAAAGAAACCGCCACAAAGGGAGAAGGCAGGTCCCAGCTTCCGCCACAGGCCTTGCGCTCTGAGGAGTCGCCTGGGGGCCTCAGCCATGAGGGGGTGACAGATGGCAGAATGGGCCAGGTCCATTCACGTTGCTGTGCAGGTGTCTCCACCCTCCGTTTCCAGAACGTTCTCATCTTCCCAAGCTGAAACCCTGTCCCCATGAAACACCAGCTCCCCATCCCCTCTGCCAGCCCCTGGCGCCCACGGTCCATGCTCCGTTTCTGTGGGTTTCATGACTCCAGGGGCAGCACATGAGTGGCCCCTTCTGCCTTTGTCCTCTGTGTCCACCTACCTCACTCTGCACAGTGTCCCCAGCTTCCCTCGTGGAGCAGCCTGGGCCAGCCTCTCTTTTTCACGGCTGAACTCTATTCCACCGTACGGATCGGCCTCACGACGCTGGCCCAGTCCTCCATCCAGGACACATGAGCAGCTTCTGCCCTTTGTCAGTGATGCTGCTGTGAACATGGGGGTGCAAATGTCCCTCATGACCCGCCTTCAGTTCTTCCGGGGACAGACCCAGAGTGGAGTTGCTGGTCACCCCCACCGGCAGGGCACAGGGCTCCGGGTCTCCACGTCTCTGCCAACACTTCTTACTTCGTGTGTTTCTGGATCCCCGCCGTCCTACTGAGCGTGAGGCAGGTCAGAAGCTTTGAAGATGGGCTTTCCTCTTGCCCCAGAAATTCCACCTCTAAGAATTTAACTTCAGAAAGACAAACGCGGGGGAGCTGGCGCAGGGCCCCCGTGGCGGGGACTGTTACGCAAACAAAACAACAGACCTGGAGGCCAACCTAGGGTCCCCGTGGGGTCGGACGAGGTCACACCACCTGACCTGGTGCTTCCCGGAAACCTAGGGTCCATGTCACGGAGCGTTCAGGACGCTGGTGGCCAGGGAGCCAGAGGGTGGGAGCGTCTCAAGTGCAGGGCACACGGGCAGGAGGCGTTTGCAGGAGGTGTTTGCAGCGCGGACGGAGTGTCCTGTAGATGACACTGTCTGCCCTGTAGATGACGTTGGTCGGAGAGGTTTACCACGTGGCCCCCGGGAAGCCCACCCAGCCCCAGTGTGAGGTGCTAGGCTTCCGCGGCTCCCACCTGGGGCAGGCTGAGGACCCTGGGCAGGTCCAGGACCTCCAGGAGCCACTGCTTCCTCAACCCTGCCAAGGTTAATGAGGGGCCCAGAGTGAGGTGGAGGCCAAATGGGACTCAGGGCTGGAGCCTCTGGCCTGGCTGGACCAGGTCTGGCATTGGACAAGCACAGCTGACTCCCGATGTGCATGGCCAGGGGACACTCTGGGCCTCAGTTTCCCCTTGAACATGAACCTTGAAACAGATGAGCCCAGAGACCTCCCATGGTCTTCAAGGGGTTCTGGTCAGCTGGGCTGGGATCTCCAGAAATGGGGCCTTCTCCAGGGACCCCCACAAGCCACCCAGCCTGAGCATCCCATGTGCACGCCTAAGCTGAGCAGGAGCCTCCTGGCCTTCCCGCTGGCTGAGCAGTGGCCGGAGAGGAGCTCCAGCCTCGTGGGCCCTCCCCGGGCCTCGGGCACCCATGGTGAGCGGCTGGGGGAGCTGCCCAGAGGCTGGGGTTCCCTCCCAGTGGAGTGGAGTGGGGCTGAGTGTGAGACAGGCTGGCTGACCACCGTTTCCAGGGACCCTGTGCCCAAGGCCAGCCCTGCCCTCCAGCAGCTTTGCCATCTAGGAAGGTGCCAGGCGGGACGGGCCCTTCTCCTCTCCCTTCCGATTCTCAGAAGCTGCTGGGGGTGGGGGCGTCCTGGGCCTCAGGGCACAGAGCTGCAAATCCTTCCTGATCCAGGCCTCTCCCCTGCCACAGCCCCTCCCCGAGAGCAAACACACGTGGCTGGCGCAGGAAAGAGCAGGGTGCCCTGCGTGGCCTGGCCTGGCTTGGGGCCAACACTCCCTGCTACATAAGCTGGGGCCCCCAGGGGAGCAAGCACCCGGCCCAGCTCCCTCCCTGCCCGTCCGCGCCCCCCACCTGTGCCAGTCCCCAGGATGGGTGCCCTGAGCACGTGCCGGACGCTGGTGTTGGCTCTGGCGGCCGTGCTCCTGGTGCAGCAGGCAGGTAAGAGCCCCCCGACTCAGCCCCCTCTAGGATGCCGTCTTCACGGTGGGAATCTCTGCAGGGCGCTTGCCTGGGAGCTTCTCCTGCAGAGTGGACGGGCAGATCCCCCTAGGATCCTGAGTATCCTGGATGGGACCCTACGTGTCCCCAGCACAGAGCTCTCTGGCCCCATGGGCCCACAGTGTCAGGGAACTCAGGGACTGGTTTGGATGGGATGTCCAGGGGAAGTTGGGCCCCTGACTGCAGGGCAAGGACCCTGGGAGACCACCGAAAGGGTCTTGGTCTTGGGGGTGAGACAGGAGTGGGCAATGGGGGAGGGGGCCACGGCTGCGGGTCTCTCTGGAGCCCTGTGAGGCCCAGGCATCACAGTAAGCAGGGGTGGGCTTAGTGTGGGCCCCTGCCCAGGACCGGCTTTGCCCTTCACGACCAGCCTGGGGATCACAGCTGGCAGGGCAGGTGAGGGCACCACCCTCAAGGGTTGCACAGCCAGCCGCGAGAGCCCTGGCCTCAACCCACGCGTGACTCCCACAGGTCATCTGCGGGCATCTCAGGCCGCACGGGCTGCCTGGCTCTCAGCCAAGCATTTTCCCTCGTCTGCCATCTCTTGGCCAGAGCTGCAGCTTTAATACTTACTGTCAACAGAGAAAGATGCGGCCCCAGGGGCCACCTGGAGACACCCAGCCGGGCTGGCCAAGAGGCAGCTGCAGTCCCTCCCTGCCCTGCCGTCCACTCCCTCCCAAGCTTGGGGTCTGGGCTGGGCAGGCGAGGCTCCCCGGGGGCTCTCTCTGTCTGTGGAAGGGAGGCTGGGTGGTCAGCAGGGCTGGAGGTAGGCGGCTTCCCCCAGTGGCTCCCAGCCTGGGCCCGGGGGGAGCTGCCTCTGACCACAAAGTTTGGGCGCTGGTTTGACCAGAATAGCCACATCCTTGCATCTAGTTCTTCCAGGCCATGCAGCCTGGGCTCCCCTCACCCGAGCAGGCAGGGCCCAGGGACTGTCAGCCCCCACGTCCTCCAGTCCTCCATGCACATCCAAGTTGGGGAGATCAAGCCCTCGGCAGGGACTGTGCTTTAGTCACAAGATGCACGTCCTATGGCCGGGGCAAGGCGGGCCCTGCACAGAGCTGCTTCACGTTAGGGGACACACCCCAGGGTGATGGGAGGGCTGGTGGCGGGCGCTTCTCTGGCCTCAAGATGGAGGCCCAGGTGGCCCAGTCCAACGAGGGCACGGCATGGAGCAGATGACCAAGGGCGGTCAGCCTGGGTGGGGAGGGTCTGCCTGGGTGGGGAAGGGCTGCCTGGGGCTGCCAGGGGCTGCTGGGGTGGGGAGGGGCTCCCTGGGGTAGGGAGGGGCTGCCTGGGGTGGGCACCAGTGCGTGGGAGTGGCTGAGTGGGCCGGCACACATGGGCAGGGCTGTGGGCTGGGGGTTGGGGTGGAGGACACAGGGAGCGGCTGGCCTTCTGGGAAAGGCAGTGAACCTGGACCTCTGGAGGCGGCCCCTGCTGTGGTTCCCAGATGTCAGCAGGACCTGACTGGAAAAGCCAGGCAGGGCCAGGCCAGAGCACAAACCACAGGGGCCAGCCCCTCGCTGAGCCCTGACCGTGCTGTGGGGGCTGGGGCCTCACCTCCCGCCTCCCCAGGAAGCACAGGTTTGGGCTGGGCCATCTCAGATCAGGCTCCAGGGAGGAGCTCTGGGGTCCGGTGAAGGGGGCACCCCAACCCAAACCGAGCAGACAATGGCCTGGGGGCCAGGGGGCCTCAGAGTCCTGGGGGTTGGAGTTGCCTCTTCCCAGGCTCTCAGCCCAGAGTCCAGCCTCCATGGGACTGGTGGGTGAGGCCTTGCCCGGAGGCGGTGGTCAGCCTGGGGGACTTTGGCGCCATCCCAGTATCTGCAGCCTCACAGCCCCGAGGCCTGCCCCCACCCCGCCCCACTCGCCCGGACTTAGGGATCGAAACTGGTTCTGGGCTTAGGTTTCTGCTAAGTCACGCCTGGAAGGTTCCAAGTGTGTCCTCCCAACAAAGCTGGCCTTTGTCCTTCTCCAGGGGACGTGTGGGATGAGGCGGAATCCCCCCTTGGGGCGGCCAACGCCTTTTCCTGATTCCATTTTCTCCCGCATCACTTCAGAAGGAGGCACCATCCCCGCATGTCAGTTGGGGAGGGCTGGGGTCCCTGGACAGATGCAGGTCGTGCCTGGGGCAGCTCAGGGCTCCCTGCTGGAAGCTTCTATCCCGCAGGCTTTCCATAGCATTGAGTGGCGGGGGAGGCATCTGTGGTTGACGGTTGGGGTGGCCTGAGCGGCTAGGGAGAAGTCCCGGCCTTGACCAGAGTGTGCCGTGCGGGTGACCCTGCAGAGCGTGGAGACCGTCACCGTGGACCCCACATGAGGCTGCCGCACCAGGGATGTGGCCGGGTCCACGGTCAGGTTCGTGGCCGGCAGCCACATCTGGTTCCTCACTGACTCCCATCCCCTCTTCCCACAGAGACCCAGGGCCCTGCGGAGCCGAGCTGGGGCAGTGCAGGGCACACCACAGATGGCGGTACGTGGCCAGGCTCGGGGCGGGGGGGTTCCTGACCAGGCTGGAGGTGCTGGGATTTGGGCTGGGGCAGGCAGAGGCCTCTCCGAGCAGCCATGTGTCCGACAGAGACCCTCCCTGGGTCCCCTGCCCAGGACAATGCCCGGCACCTGAGGCGGAGCTGGACGCTCCAAAGAAGAGGAAAGTGCAAAGCAGAGAGACGTGCACACACACACACACACACGTGCAGGCACATGTGCGCCCATACTTGCACCAGCACACACACGTGTGCACACAGGCCAAAACACAAGGCAGCAGTGTTTGTGAGCAGACAGGGCCAAGGGTGAAGGGGCTGCCTTGCCCCCAGCCCATCAGTTTCGGGCTCCCCTTCAACTCTGGTGGCTGGCGAGGAGGGTGGGACCCGGGGAGGGTGTCTCTGCTGCCCCTTCCCGGCCACGTTCCTGGGGTGACCGGCCTTCGCCCACAGGCGCCCCGACGTCCTCGCCCACCCGGCGTGTGAGCTTTGTTCCACCCGTCACTGTCTTCCCCAGCCTGAGCCGTAAGCAGACGCCGTCCCTGCCGGCTGGGAAGGGGGTGTTTGCCAGCCCCAAAGGTGGGGGCCCAGATCTAGGGGTGCAGCTGCCACCAGGTGGGGCCATTGGGCCAGACCCAGAGTCCTCCCTCTGGGCGGTCTCCTGATCACTGGCCGCCCTGGGGGATGGGGACGGGTCAGGGGTCTTGGAGCGAAACAGAGGCAGCCCAGGGTGAACCAGGCAGGGCACAGCCAGCAGCCGACCATGGGCTTTTCTGCTCCAAAAACCAGGGCACCTCAGCCCAGGGGAGGCTACCCCGTGGGGGGCTGGCATGGGGGTGGGTCTCATCCCACGCTCCCCACAGCCCTGAACCCGGCACACAACGGGCGGGTGTGCAGCACCTGGGGCGACTTCCACTACAAGACCTTCGACGGTGACGTCTTCCGCTTCCCTGGCCTCTGCAACTACGTGTTCTCTGAGCACTGCGGCGCCGCCTATGAGGACTTCAACGTCCAGCTACGCAGAGGCCTGGTGGGCTCCAGGCCTGTGGTCACCCGTGTTGTCATCAAGGCCCAGGGGCTGGTGCTAGAGGCGTCCAATGGCTCTGTCCTCGTCAACGGGCAGCGGTGAGCCGGCCACCCTGGGGAGAGGCGAGGGCCGGGCCACGTGGTGTGACCTCCCCACACGGCCGTGTCTGACCTGGGCCAGGGCGGGGGTGGGGTTGGGCGGGTGGGCAGGCAGCCGGGAGGGCTGGGCCCAGGGAGAGACCCAGCTGTCTGTGCAGGGAGGAGCTGCCTTACAGCCGCACTGGGCTCCTGGTGGAGCAGAGCGGGGACTACGTCAAGGTCAGCATCCGGCTGGTCCTGACCTTCCTGTGGAACGGAGAGGACAGTGCCCTGGTGAGGAAGCCCTCTCGTCCCTTGCCCCTCCAGGCCTGGCCACAAAACTCCCACAGGGGTCGAGGGATGCCTCCCTGGGCTTGGGGTCCCAGGGCTTGGGGCATGTTGCCAGTGGGGGGATCAGAAGTCCTGAGGCTGGAGCTGCTCCTCCCCTACTCTCAGCTGGAGCTGGACCCCAAATACGCCAACCAGACCTGTGGCCTGTGCGGGGACTTCAACGGCCTCCCAGCCTTCAACGAGTTCTATGCCCACAGTGAGTGCCACCTGGGCGAGGGGGCGGTGACCGATTATGTCAGCCAGCCAAGGGTCACAGTCCCATGGAGGCTGGGAGGGGTGGAGTGGGAACCAGGCACCGGGCAGGGAGGGGTCACAAGGGCTGTGCCCTACATGGTGGGAGGAGCGCCCCTCGGGCACATCGGGCCCCAGGCAGGAGTGGGAATCCTCTGGCCTGGGCTCAGGAAGTGGGAGCCCATACCCTGTCCCCAGGATCCCCTCAGAGCCACCACACTCCTGCTTTCTTCCCGGGCTTTCTTCCCGGCAGACGCCAGACTGACCCCGCTCCAGTTTGGGAACCTGCAGAAGTTGGATGGGCCCACGGAGCAGTGCCCGGACCCGCTGCCCTTGCTGGCCAGCAACTGCACAGATGAGGTGAGTTTCCCCCCAACCCCCAGCTCCTGGGCAGGGACGGCCTCCAGAGGTGAGCCCCTCGCTCCTGGGCAGGGACGGCCTCCAGAGGTGAGCCCCTCGCTCCTGGGCAGGGATGACCTCCAGGTCCAGGGGTAGCCAGGCCGAGGTCTGAGGAACGTTCCCAGCTGGAGGAGAGATGGTGGCGTTGGAGGGAGGCCTGGCAGCCACCCTCTGTGTGCTCAGTTCCACGGTACACACTGTCCAAGTGTGGTGATGCATGTGTTCCTCAGGCCACGCGTGTGACAAGCTGTGCGAGCAAATATAGGCCCATGCTGCACGGTCTGGGCTGAGGGTGGGTACTCGGGGAGCCTGGAGCCAGCTCTTCCCACCAGCAGGGGGACTCAGAAGGGGCCTGGAGGCTCCAGGATCCCTAAATCAGCAGAATCTCTGAGCCTTAAATTGGGCATTGAATGACAGCAGCAGCCCCCCGGGAGCTGGGCCCCACAGCCGGCAGCCCGGGGCCTGGGAAGGGAGGACACTCAGCACTGGACTGCCCTGAACTTGCCAGGCTACCCGGAGAGACAGGGCCTGCGCCTCTCCTCCTTGGCTCCGCCTCCTGGGGCGGGGTCTGCATCTTTCTTCAGAGAGGCGGGGCCTCCACCTCCCCTCCTTGGTTCTGCCTCCTGGGGCGGGGTCTGCACCTGCCCTCCTTGGCTCCGCCTCATGGGGGCGGGGCCTGCACCTGCCCTCCTTGGCTCCGCCTCTGGGGCGGGGTCTGCACCTCCCCTCCTTGGCTCTGCCTCCTGGGGCGGGGTCTGCACCTGCCCTCCTTGGCTCCGCCTCCTGGGGCGGGGTCTGCACCTTTCTTCAGAGAGGCGGGGCCTCCACCTCCCCTCCTTGGCTCCGCCTCCTGGGGCGGGGTCTTCACCTGCCCTCCTTGGCTCCGCCTCATGGGGCGGGGCCTGCACCTGCCCTCCTTGGCTCCACCTCTGGGGCGGGGTCTGCACCTCCCCTCCTTGGCTCTGCCTCCTGGGGCGGGGTCTGCACCTGCCCTCCTTGGCTCCGCCTCCTGGGGCAGGGTCTGCACCTTTCTTGGGGGCTCACTTCGTGGGCAGGCACATCCCGGGTGGGGGATTCAGAGTCATGGGTCACTCCCCAAGGGCCAAGCAGAGCTCTGCACCGGCAGCTACACAGCCACAGTGGGTGGAAGGGATGGGACTGGGTACAAGAAACCCCGATGGGGAGAGGGCTTCCCAGCCTGGCCTGCCATGGGTCCTGTTCCAGCACTGTGGCAGCCCCCATGGAGGGCAGGGGTGCCCAGCCTGGCCCACTGTGCTCCCCAGGAAGGCATTTGCCACCACACCCTGCTGGGGCCGGCCTTTGCAGAGTGCCACGCACTGGTGGACAGCGCCCCATACCTGGCTGCCTGCGCCCAGGACCTGTGCCGCTGCCCCACCTGCCCGTGCGCCACCTTTGTGGAATACTCACGCCAGTGCGCCCACGCGGGGGGCCAGCCGCAGAACTGGAGGCACCCTGAGCTCTGCCGTGAGTGCTCCCAGGGCCTTTGCCAAGGATTGCGCTGGAGAGAAGGGGCAGGGGGAGCGCTTTGGGGGCCATAGGCGGGTGGGGAGGCCTGGGGGACAGGGATGGAGGGCAAAGGACACAACCCAGGCATAGTGGGCAGAGGCCACCCCAGGACCCCAGGAGGGGATGGTGCCTCCGGGGGCTGCAGGAGAAGAAGAGGCTGTGCAGGTGGCGGGGACTGCGACTGGAGGGAGGAGCTGCTATGATGAGGGGCATCAGGGCCACCCTGAGGCCCAGCTCTGGCTTCTGCGGACTTGGCGGCAAGTGGAAGGCGGTGGAAGGTGGCTGGGGCTGACCACGCGGGCAGTACAGGGCCCTTCCCCTGGCCCAGCCCCGCCTCCTTTTGTGCAGCCCGGACCTGCCCCGTCAACATGCAGCACCGGGAGTGTGGCTCACCCTGCGTGGACACCTGCTCCAACCCCCAGCGTGCGCAGCTCTGCGAGGACCACTGTGTGGACGGCTGCTTCTGCCCCCCAGGCAGGTCTCGCATGTTTTCAGGTCCCTGTTCCCAGCCCTGCCCCCAGCCTCATCAGGCCTGGAAGCAGAGCCCCTCATGCCAGAGGGTCCCACCAGAGGGCCCAGGGTGGGAAGGGCACTGGCTGGGAGGGTGCCGGAAAACCCGACGATGCGTAGAGGGAGGCAGAGCAGTGCCATGAGCCAGTTGGGTCTGGTAGGGAAACTGAGGCCCAGAGGTGCTTGGTGTTCATCCAAGTGGGTGGGGCTCAGGGCAGGGGTGGTGTCCTGGAGCAGGAGTTCCTCCCTGAGGGAGGTGGCTTGTCCCCAAGGCTGGGGTCTTCTGACCTTGGTGTCCCCCGTGCATGGGCCGGTCCTGCCTCACGCCCTGCCCCACAGGCACGGTGCTGGATGATGTCACGCACTCTGGCTGCCTGCCCCTCGGGCAGTGCCCCTGCACCCACGGTGGCCGCACCTACAGCCCGGGCGCCTCCGTCAACACCACCTGCAGCTCCTGGTACCTATGAACCCGCCAGCCTCTGCCTGGGGTGGGGTGTGGAGCTCCTGGTGTGCACCCGCCAGCCTCTGCCTGGGGTGGGGGTGTGGAGGGTGGAGCCCACCTCCTCCTGACATGTCTGTTCTGCTCATGGCCTCCCTCCCCAGCACCTGCTCTGGGGGGCTGTGGCAGTGCCAGGACCTGCCGTGCCCTGGCACCTGCTCCGTGCAGGGCGGGGCCCACATCACCACCTATGACGAGAAACTTTACGACCTGCATGGCGACTGCAGCTACGTTCTCTCCAAGGTCTGGGTACAGGGCCGGGTCTTCGAACACCCAGGTCCTCCCGGGATCCTCACGCCCCTTCCACCCAGGGGAGGCCTCCACGATGGTCATAGAGGGCCGGATGTTCCTGCTGGGGGGAAGCCCTGGGTCCCCATGATGGTCATAGATGGGTGGTTCTCCCTGCTGAGCATCACGGGGCCAAGAAGCCCCCAGGCCCTGAGACAAGCTGCTGGGAGGTGACCAGAGGTGCCAAGGGACACCTCCTCACAGAGCCACATCCCCCACATGGGCATCCCCAGCACGCTTTTGGGGGGCCCCCACATCATCGAGCCAGGCCCAATGCACGCATGGGTCCTTCCCCCAGAAATGTACTGATGGCAGCTTCACCGTGCTGGCCGAACTGCGGAAGTGTGGACTGACGGACAACGAGAACTGCCTGAAGGCCGTGACGCTCAGCCTAGACGGCGGGGACACGGTGAGTTACTCTTAGCATGGACGGCGGGGACACGGTAAGGGCCTGGCTGGGGCCCTGGGCTGGGACAGGAAGGGGCGTGCGAAGATGTGCAGGGAGTGAGCACGGTCAGGTCCCCCCTCCAGCCCCGAGGTGGGGTCCCCCCTCCCGCCTTGAGGTGGGGTCCCCCCACCCGCCCTCAGGTCAGGTCCCCCCTCCAGCCCCAAAGTCAGGTCCCCCCTCCAGCTCCAAGGTCAGGCCCTCCCGGGAGGGAAATGCAGAGTCCACCGCAGGTCCAGGCCTGAGCTTCTTGTGGGCTGTCCCCAGTGGGGGCCCCTGGGCAGGCCACCCCCTCATTTGAGAGTCGGGAACAGGTTCCTCCGCAGAGCTGACCTCCTGCCCGCCTCCTCCCACAGGCCATCCGGGTCCAGGCAGACGGCAGCGTGTTCCTCAACTCCATCTACACGCAGCTGCCCCTGTCGGCAGGTACGTGGCTCTCCCAGGACGGCTGGGCCGGGTGGCGCCTCCTAGCAGGGGCAGCTCCCACGATCTGGGCAGCGTCTGCTCCATCCCCTGCTAGCTCTCCGTGGCCCTGGGCAGCTCCAAGAGCTTCCTGTGCTCGGTTTCTCATCTGCAGAGTGGGAATGCCAGGCTCCCATCCAGGTAGCTGTGGGGAACCCACATCCAGCTCGCTCAGTCCCACTCTGTCAGGGAGCCCAGAGTCTCCACCTGAGCCGGCTTGGCGGCCACAGGCCTGGGACAGGGAGCATGAGGGCTCCTGGCCACTCCTGGGTCTCATTCCCGGGTCTCAGTGGGGTGGCCCGGCCCACTGGATGCCCTGCCCCTCCAATCTGGCCACATCTGGCCCTGCACCCCTGACCGGCCTCTCTCCCACACTCCTGGCAGCCAACATCACCCTGTTCACACCCTCGAGCTTCTTCATCGTGGTGCACACAGGCCTCGGGCTGCAGCTGCTGGTGCAGCTGGTGCCGCTCATGCAGGTGTTTGTCAGGCTGGACCCCGCCCACCAGGGCCAGATGTGCGGTGAGGCTGGGCAGGAGCCTTCGGGGACGGGGCCTGGACTAGCGCCAGGCTGCAGGGAGGGGCAGGCAGAGGCGGGCAGGGGACAAGGGAGAGGGCTGCTCCCAGAGCATGGTGGAGACCCTGGTGCCGCCAGCACAGGACGCCAACATCTGACTGGCGGCCCCGGAAGCAACCAGCCTGGAGGATGGAGTGGGCAGCCCTGCCCTGGCTCAGGCCAGCTTTGCACAGGGGCTGCCCCCCACTGGGGCTTATCTGCAGAGGGTTCTGGAAGCAGAATCCTGGGACAGAGCTCCCAGCCGTTCCACCCTGTGTGGTGCCTGGAGGGATGGCAGGGGCGCGGAGCCGGGTGGGCCCAACCGCGGCTGCTGACATCCCCCAACCCTGGCTCGCAGGCCTGTGTGGGAACTTCAACCAGAACCAGGCTGACGACTTCGCAGCCCTCAGCGGGGTGGTGGAGGCCACAGGCGCAGCCTTCGCCAACACCTGGAAGGCCCAGGCCGCCTGCGCCAATGCCAGGAACAGCTTTGAGGACCCCTGCTCCCTCAGTGTGGAGAATGGTACTCCTGGCCCCCACGCCCACAGTCACCCCAGGCTCAAGTGCCACCTAGCACCTTCCTGTCCCCTGGGCCACGGGTGGGATTGGGGACCCCATGGAGGCCGGTGGGAGGCATCGGGACGAGGTGCTTGGGACCAGGCGGCCAGAATCCCCTAAGGTGCGGCAGGTAAGCCCCAAATTCCAGCTCACTGTTCCCCAGGCTGAGGGGGTGCAGGCCTGTGTGTCGGGGGTGTGGGCTTTGTGGCAGGGCATGGAGATGGGGCCGGGTCTTCCCCACAGAGAACTACGCCCGGCACTGGTGCTCACGCCTGACTGACCCCACCGGCTCCTTCTCGCGCTGCCACTCTGTCATCAACCCCAAGCCCTTCCACTCGGTAAGAGGCCGTGAGGCCAGATCCCTACCCCTGGGTGGGATGGGTGGGGGAGCCCTGGCGGGCTGGGGTCCCTGACGCCCCGACGCCCGCCCACCTCCGCAGAACTGCCTGTTTGACACCTGCAACTGTGAGCGGAGCGAGGACTGCCTGTGCGCCGCGCTGTCCTCCTATGTGCACGCCTGTGCCGCCAAAGGCGTGCAGCTCAGCGGCTGGAGGGACGGCGTCTGCAGTGAGTGCCTGCACTGGAGGGGGGATGTGTCCACGCTGCGTGGGGTGCGGGGGACCCTGGCCGGCAGCAGCCGTCACTCACACGGTTCTCAGCCCAGAGCTTTGTGCCTCCTCATCCCAGCCTCGCAAGAACCTTGTATCCTTGCGATCACCACATCACAGACAGGGATGCTGAGTTGAAGATGGGGTGGGCGGGGCCTGGCCAGGCTGCTCGGCCGCTGACCTGTCCTCCCTGGCCCCACCGACCATAGCCAAGTACATGCAGCACTGCCCCAAGTCCCAGCGCTATGCCTACGTGGTGGACGCCTGCCAGCCGACTTGCCGAGGCCTGAGTGAGGCCGACGTCACCTGCAGCGTTTCCTTTGTGCCTGTGGACGGCTGCACCTGCCCCACGGGCACCTTCCTCAATGACGCGGGCGCCTGTGTGCCCGCCCGGGAGTGCCCCTGCTATGTTCACGGCACCGTGCTGGCTCCTGGGGAGGTCGTGCACGACGAAGGCGCTGTGTGGTAAGGGGCTGGGCAGGGGGGAAAGCAGGTCCCCGAGTGCTCCTCAAAGCCACCTCCTGCCCTCCCCGAAGGCTTCTGTGCCTCCCCACGAGGGTTCTGAGACACGAGGGGCCAGGCTGGGGAGGGCAGCGCAGGGTGGACCCAGCACATTCTAAAGAGAAAATTCCCGGCTGGGAAAGAGGCCAGGAGTGGAGGTGGCCCTGGGAGGACGCCTGCTGGCTGTTCTCAGCTGGGTCCAAACAGCAGCCCCTGCCAGGAAAGGTGGGTGGCCCCCACTCCCACCCTGGGTTCAAAGGCTGCTGCTAACCGCAGGGTCCTGGCTGCTTTGTCGCCCACCTGTGTGTATTTACCCACGCGCCTCCCAGCGAACAGTGGCAGGCACTGTCCGGTCTCACGAGGAGGAGGCCAGGCTGGGGAGGCCCAGCCCTCTGTGGGTGCTCGGGAGCCTGGGGGTGGGGTCTGTGGGGTGAGAGTGGCAGGTCCAGGCCGGGCTGTCCATCTCTTGTAGTTCGTGTGAGGGTGGGAAGCTGAGCTGCCTGGGAGCCTCTCTGCAGAAAAGCACAGGTAAGTGCCACCCCGCCCC